ATATTTCATGACTGACCTGACTAGTGCTGTTACACTTCATGACTGACCTGACTAGTGCTGCTACACTTCATGACTGACATGGCTAGTGCTGCTACACTTTATGACTGACCTGGCTAGTGCTGTTACACTTCATGACTGACATGGCTAGAGCTGTTACACTTCATGACTGACCTGGCTAGTGCTGCTACACTTTATGACTGACCTGACTAGTGCTGTTACACTTCATGACTGACCTGGCTAGTGCTGCTACACTTTATGATTGACATGGCTAGTGCTGTTACACTTTATGACTGACATGGCTAGTGCTGCTACACTTTATGACTGACCTGGCTAGAGCTGTTACACTTCATGACTGACCTGGCTAGTGCTGCTACACTTTATGACTGACCTGACTAGTGCTGCTACACTTTATGATCTAATTAGTAATACATCTACTCTACAACTAACATTTTTAGTTGTTGAACCATTAGTTACACTAGGTTAGAACCACTCCTTAGAGTGGTACATGAATGAACCATTACTATCGTTGTTCCTGTCCACAGGGCTATAGAGTAGGTGCCAATGGTCAGACTTGCCAAGGTGAGTAGTTCACAGTTATTGAAAAGTAAAGTGTAAATGTCTTGTTTAATTAGCCGCATCTATCAATAAAAGTTTAATTGTTTCTCAACTGGGTCAGCTATCTTACCAGTTTGAGGAGTGAATCACATACCACACTAATGTAAGTAATGGTTCATTCATGTATAACGGTAAGGAGTGGTTCTAACGTAGTGTAAGTAATGGTTCATTTATGTACAACGGTAAGGAGTGGTTCTAACGTAGTGTAAGTAATGGTTCATTTATGTATCACAGTAAGGAGTGGTTCTAATGTAGTGTAAGTAATGGTTCATTCATGTATCACGGTAAGGAGTGGTTCTAACGTAGTGTAAGTAATGGTTCATTTATGTACCACGGTAAGGAGTAGTTCTAATGTAGTGTAAGTAATGGTTCATTCATGTATCATGGTAAGGAGTGGTTCTAATCTAGTGTAAGTAATGGTTCATTCACGTACCACGGTAAGGAGTGGTTCTAATGTAATGTAAGTAATGGTTCATTTATGTACCACGGTAAGGAGTGGTTCTAACGTAGTGTAAATAATGGTTCATTCATGTACCACAGTAAGGAGTGGTTCTAATCTAGTGTAAGTAATGGTTCATTCATGTACCACGGTAAGGAGTGGTTCTAACCTAGTGTAACCTACCAACAGTGTTCTCACATTGATGCTGACACTGACCTTCTTTAGTACACTCATCATAGTCTGGAACAACAACAAAATATGGTACAGGAGTCAATTATGTTAAAACTTTAATTTGTTAGAATATTTGGCATTACGTACATATAGATCATCAAGTGATTATAAAAAATTTGCTGGTTAAATGAAATGATAAAACTGACACGACTTCATCTAAAATCATTGGCATTACGTATACATAGATCATTAAGTGATTTAACTACATAATAAAAGTCACGTGCTGGTTAAATAAAGTGATAAAACTGACACGACTTCATCTAAAATCATTGGCATTACGTATACATAGATCATTAAGTGATTTAACTACATAATAAAAGTCACGTGCTGGTTAAATAAAGTGTTAAAACTGACACGACTTCATCTAAAATCATTGGCATTACGTATACATAGATCATTAAGTGATTTAACTACATAATAAAAGTCACGTGCTGGTTAAATAAAGTGTTAAAACTGACACGACTTCATCTAAAATCATTGGCATTACGTATACATAGATCATTAAGTGATTTAAGTACATAATAAAAGTCATGTGCTGGTTAAATAAAGTGTTAAAACTGACATGACTACATCTGGTCAGTGAATGAATCTCAGTGTCTGA